TTGGGTTCTTTCAATGTACAACAAAAAACAAAAAAACCCAATTTATTTCTATAAAAATCAGTCTTGGGAAATGCAGGAGGAAGGAACAGCTTCAGCCAGTATTTATAACTTACTTGCACGCAGTGCTTTGCAGGAATATAAGCTCCACTAATTTTTAGAAATGCAAATATTTACAGTATTTCTTGCAGCACTTTGTTGTATTTTCCATTACATCTTTCAAAAACTTCTGTGTATTTTCCATCATAAATTTGAAAGATATTTATCATCAAAACATAAGCAGTGAAATCAGCTCTGTGTACTGCAACATTCAGCATCATGGAGCACTTATTTCTCCTGGCCTATCTAATGCAGTGTGCAAACATAGCAGGATTTTGATAAAGACTTTAAATCTCTAATGATCTGGCCTCTCTTCTGTTTATACAACTGGCTGCTGTGCCAATGGCAGAGTGTTACAGAAAGATGGATTTTTCTCCGTGGTTTGGAAAACATTCCTGTTTCAGGAGACTGGAACTTTTTGGACTTAAATATCATTGCTCCAAGCAGGTCTTGGAAGTACCATTGCTGAGTAATTGAGGAAATTTATCATTCGTATTATTTCTCTGTCAGTGCTGTCTCTGTTTCAGCCAGTGTGGTAATTTAAAACTGCAAATAGAAGGTCTACTATCATCTGTTATATTTACATTCAGCATGCTATGGTACTTACAGATATGGAAAATGAAGCAAGATTTATATGGAAAGGCACCTTTTCTTTTTGTTAGACTGGCTGGTACAGTTGCAATAAAATAAATAAGCTTACAGACACACAAACCCTGTTTTATACCTGACCTAAGAGTCATCAATAACATGTTACAAAATTTAAAATCAGTTGTTCTGAATTAAAGTTCATTATATTAATAAATTAGAATGTGTGAGAATAACAGGTAATTAGGATCTGGCTAGCATGAACAGTAGGTATTTACCCAGGAGAGACATGATAATGTCATTATCACTGAGGGACAAAGAGAAGCTCATCTGTGACCAAAAGAAGATGGAAGAGGTGACTGGGAAATGATTCAAAGGCTCCTGCGGCAAGAGAGGAACACGATATTCCCATGCCAGTGTCTTTCTATAATATAGAAAGACAATTTTGTGTGTTCCTGAAAAGAGTATGTGCAATGCGTGAAAGGTCCATCCTTGCCTGCTATGCATGAAATTTCTACAGACAGAGATGTTTACATTGTAATGGGTGTCTGTTGTTTTTTGTGCTCCCAGGGACCTCCAGGAACTCGATGACAGCACCCAGCTCCCTTTACTGTGTCACTTCTCGGAGACAGCTGAAGGCCTTACCACCATCAGAGCATTTGGGTCAGTAAAACAAATTTTTAGAGGGAGGCTTGGCTTTTGGTCTGGCCTGTGCAGCCTCCTTGGAGCATGTCTGAGAGCAAGTTCTTGGATTTGATGAGCTTTCTTAAACTATCTCAAAAAAACCCAAAAAACCAAAGAGATTTTGTTTTATTATTGCTTTTCCATGCCTTTAAAACCTTTTGCATATTTTCAGTAACACATTAATTATTTCTGTATTGGTTTTCCACTGAATTAAAGATGATTACATATTTCAGATATGATATTTAGACTTTCAGGGAGTCTGTTTTAGCCTTGCCTTACCTGGGCAGCAGGGAGCTCTCTTTTTCCAAGCAGGCACAGGAAACTCCTTCAGACCCCCCTGCTACATCCTACAACCTGTGTCCCTGAATCAGTGCTGTATTTAACCCATTCCCTGGGCAGGGAAACATCTTTATAACACTCTCCAACTGAAAGGGAGACTTTCCAAGAAAATTACAGCAGAACAGAGCTTGATCTTAATATTGTAAAACCTACCCTTGCTAATCAAAATTGAAAAATAAATTCCAGAAGATTCAGGTAATTTTTTCAGCTTCCCATGCATGTATTTTTTCTCTACTTACTACATGAAATGCAGGCCAAATTCTCCTTGTATATTCACTACATTATAGCTGGCATGACTGACCAAGTCCCAGCTTGATGTTGCTTCCCAGTAAGCACAGCTTGCACTCATCCTGTGCTATGTAGAACCTCAAACCAGAGCAGATCTCACTACAGTGCCATTTACACACCTCTCTGATCAGCTTAAGACTGTTTCCCTGCTTCAGGCTAAGCTTTAGGACCTGGGCTGTTAGTACAGACTGTTGCAGTAAGGAATGTGGAAGGACAAGCAAAAATATTGCTGTGTTGAAGAGATGTGAGCCAGTGGTCAACAGGAAATGTTTTAACAAGCTTGATCAACCAGAATGACGTACTGAAAGAGTAAATCATCATTAAGGCCTGATGGTGATGTAGCTGAGTGCTTCTTGAGAGGTTCAGAGCGGCCTTTTACCGTGTTGTCTCCTGAGAAAGATGAAGGACCTTAGCACCTCTTGGGAGCTGAACTCTACCTTATAAAACAGACACTGTGGGCTTGGATGGCAGAGAGTAAAAGGCAACCTGAGGGAAGGACTGGGCATCACAACCATCGCTTGAGTTCTCCAGGAACTCTGGTCCTAATCAAAGCCATTTCATCTCCCTGTCTGTGCTCCACTGTCAACCAAACTTGAAGTCTCCAGCACTTTTTTTCAGCAAGCTCGTATTTACTGTTAGCCATTCTCTGCAGTTTGAGTTCAGTATGTTCCAGGATAAAATAGAGCAGCTCCTCACATAACTTACCACAAAGTAGTACAGTTGGATCAGAGAGCAATCTCAGTGACCTTTGCTGTTTGTCATCTGACAGGATAAAAGTCTAAAGCAGCCCAGAAGATGAGCTGAACGTGGACGAAAGCATACAGATTGAGCATGTCAGATTTTCCATTAGGAAAACAGGAGTTTTGCTGCCAGGAAGGCAGATGAGCAGGACAGTCAGTGCATCTTTGCTCCTCCCCACGTCATTCCTGTTACCAGTTGTTTTGGGGAGGTTGCTTGCCATGTTTGCAAGCTGTGTAGAGGGAAATAAAACATCAGTGGGAAACAGTAGAGGAAAAAAGAAGGAAATTTCTGGTAGAACAGGCGTTACAGGTGCTTCACAGCAGGGCCTTGAGACTTTAAAATGGAAGATAAAACAACGAGCTGCTGACTGAAGTTCAGCTGGTTTATTCAAGTAAGGGTAAGGAGCAGACAGCAGAATATGAAACAAGATGGTTTCCATCTGACTGTGCAAGGCACAATGAATTTAATACACTTAACACCAACAGAGATTTCCCCCTCTCCTCCCAAAACATACCTCAGCTCTTGGGGGCTCTGGCATCCTTGGTTTTAAATGTGATGGGCGTTACAAGGGAGAGAGGGAAGCAGTGGAGGTAACACCTCTCATTTTTGTAATTCAGAGATGATCTCTGGCTCTCCCTCATTGTAGTTTCCCAGTTGTTTAGGCTGAGAAAACAGCTGAGCTGTGTGGCTGGAAGGTATTGATCTGCGGATAGATCTACATTAGCTGAAACTTGAGAGGTGTCACTCTTGTTACTTAGAGGTGTCACTCCTGTTGAAGAGCCCTGCAGCTGGCCAGGCACCTTTTTTGTGTCAGACCAGCTGGTATAGTTGCAATAAAACAGCAGACACACAAACTTTGTTTTATACCTGACCTAAGAGTCACCAATAACATGCTCCAAAATTTAAAATCAACTGTGATTAATATAATGAACTTAAATTCATTATATTAATAAATTAAAATGTGTGAGAATAACAGGTAATTAGGATCTGGCTAAAATGGACAGCAGGTTTTTACCCAGGAGAGACATGATAATGTTATTATCACTGAGGGACAAAGAGAAACTCATCTCTGACCGAAAGTAGATGGAAGAGGTGACTGAGAAATGATTCAAAGGCTCCTGCGGCAAGAGAGGAACATGATATTCCCATGCCAGTGTCTTTCTGTGCTATAGAAATACTGAAAAGAATATGTGCAACACATGAAATGTCTGTTCTTGTCTGCTATGCAGTAAAATTTCTACAGACAGAGACGCCTGAAATCGGCTTTTCAGATGACAGGTCTTGGTGGTGGCTTGTGAGGAAGAAGCAAGGGGCCACAGGAGCACTCACTTGTTAGAGGACTGAAGGGTGGCCACAGCTATAAAAAATGGATCAACTTTGAGAAGCAAATGCCCAGCACCCCAGCACTGGAGTGTCTCTCAGGGGACAGGCTCTGATCCAAAATCTACTCCAAAACAAACCCTCCCCATTACACGTGTAGCTCTGGTTATGGAGAGTTGTGGCAGCAGGGAAGAGTTTTTTAACCCAAAATCAGAAGGGCAAAAAGTTTTGACTGTGGAAGGGGGGAGGGAGGGAGGGAGGGAGGGAGGGAGGGAAGTCAGAGGAGAGTTGATGCTTCACCCTTCTGTGTGTGAGCGTGTGACGTGCTGTAAATGTACCAACTTTGCTCTTGGCAGGCACGAAGCCAGGTTCAAACAACGCATGCTGGAACTGACAGACACGAACAACATTGCCTACTTATTTCTGTCGGCTGCCAACAGATGGCTGGAGGTCAGGACGGTACGTTCAGTTTCGTCCCAGCCGTGGTTTTGAAACCTTGGAAGCAAACAGAGGCTTCTCCTGACGCGGAGAAGATAATAACGGGAATTAATCTCGCGATGAGGTTACACACACACAGCTCCTTAAAATAGATCGGCATTGTTATGTTAAACCCAGAGGGTTTTTTCAGCTTTCTTGGCCAGGGGTAGGAAAATGCAAGTTCTCCCTCATCTTTTGCTGCTGTGCTGTCTAGTGTCTGAAGAGAATGCAAGGACAAACATTTACATAACTTGAAACAAGGCTTTCTCTGCTACTGTGCAGCATCTGCAGACCTGCTCCGGCAGGAACTACTTTCAAAGAAGGACAGGGATTTTTGGTAGTTTTGTGAACTGTGTCATCATTCTGCCAGGGCTGTTTTAGGCACCACTCACCTTTTAGGTCCTGAAGCAACAGGTTTGACCCCACAGCTGTAAGTTAAACCCCTCCTTGCAGTGCCCTTACTGCAGCTGTCAGGCCATACTCTTTGTGGTTTTACTGTTTGATATCATGAAAGATGGCAGAACCAGACTCCAACTGGAAAAAAAAATGACAGTGGGGCACAGAGCAGCCACTGACAGTGAAACAGGCTCCTGGTTTTTGTGGGGGCTCTCCAGGGACAGCACATGAGGGACTTTACTAATCTGCAAGGCAAGAAGAGGCAAACAAGGCAACTGTGATTTCTTTATTCATCTGAAACCCAAAGAGCAGTGAATAAACAGAGCAGTGACCTGGTTCTGCTAGACACAAATAGCAACAGGCATGATTAATCCCCACATCAAAGGCTGGATACTCACCTTATTTTCCTGGTATGCTGTCAGAGCAACAAAGTTATTCTCCATTTCTTATGATGACAAAACTTTCCCTTGTGCATGAAGCTCTCAGCTTCTTACAGCGTACAAGACCAAGCTGAACTTGCTTCCAAATCTAAGGCAGATAAATAACAGAGCAACAGCCAATCCTGGAATGAGCTGTGGCGATGCCTGTTAATGTCTCACAGTTTTAGACTTGCTTACATGTGGAATGAACCTGATCCAAGAATATGCCTCGCTTCATCGTAGCATTAGGAATAATGTGGCCTTGCCAGGGAGTAGTTCCTTTATCTCTCCCTAATGGCACAGTGGTACTAAGATCACCCAAAAGCTTGTAGGATTTTATAGCAGCTGTCAAGTCCTATCCCAGCTGCTGATGGAGTCTCAAGACACTGTGGTTCCAATTCCCTGCATATGTCAATCATAAAATCCCAGAATCACATGGTTTGGGTTGAAGAGGACCTTAAAAATCATCCACTTCCAACCCCCCTGCCATGGGCAGGGACACCTTCCACTAGCCCAGGTTGCTTAGAGCCCCATCCAACCTGGCCTTGAACACTTCCAGGGATGGGGCAGCCACAGCTTCTCTGGGCAACCTGTGTCAGGGCCTTACCACTCTCACAGGGAAGGATTTCTTCCTAATATCCAATCTAAACCTCCTGTCTCTCAGTTTAAATCCATCCCCCGCTTAAGTTTGAGTCTGTCATCTGCTCTTCAACACAATTTACAGACAGAAGAACCAGGCAACCCTCATTTGCAATCTCAGAAGGAAAGATTACAGGCATTATCAGACAGGAGGAGAAAAATGGATGGAAAATGTAATCCAAGCTAAATAGAGTGCAGGTAGCAGTGGGAGAGAGGGAATACCAAGGGTCTCATTAATCAGACACCTTGATTCCATGAGATCACATGTGGCATTGACTTCAAAACTGAGGTGCACATCAAGAAAATAGGTTCCAACTCCTGCAAAGCTTCTGCCAATAAAACATATGCATGACCTGTATAAATTCTACCAAAAGCCTTCCTGGACTTGGTGAAGTCACCGATACTTCTCTTTTCTGAGGAGGCAAACCCATGTTTTAAGAAGACCCGAAAGAGAGTGAAGAAAGTGGAATTGATTTGTTTTAGCGGTAGGAATTAGGGGTGTCATTGTTATATCATTCTTAGGATTTTTTATGTGCTTATTTGATTTTTTTGATATCTACTCTATTTGGGGCTCCCACAGTGAAATACCAAATGGATTTGCTGAAATTACTGGCCTGTTTCACTTGTGTTCAGCAAGTTGCTTTAGGGTGTTTCGGGTCGAGCCCTACAACCTGTGACCTTCTCCAGGAAGAACAAACCAATTATTAAGTAGTAGGTGTCATTATATAAATAATTCTCAGTAAAGTCAAACTGCCCCTCAACTAAAGAAATGTTCTTGTTTCTGCCTTTTAAAGTTGCCTAGAATCTTTCTCTCCCTGTCTCTCTCATTCCAGGATTACCTTGGTGCCTGTATTGTCCTGACTGCAGCTGTCACCTCCATCACTGAAGGGCCCAACTCGGGATTTGTGGGGCTGGGTCTCCTGTACGCTCTCACAGTACGTACCAAGGCAAAGCTTAAGAACTTTCAGACCAACCAAGTATTAATTTTATAATATTTTTATATAGACATGGTTGTCTTCCAGCTTTCTTAATCTTGAAAAAAACCCCAATCCTGCAAATAATGGATTCGAGCCAAAGTTGAGAGAGTTCAGGGCAACTTGGACTTGCTTCAGGTTTCATGAGCCAATTAAAAAAACACAGCCATTCCCAGGCCCTGCGTGCTCCCAAGCAGAGCAGGAAAATTAAAAATGCGTAAGAGGACCTGCCGTGCACTCTAGTTTGTATAACACAGTGTTGGTTCCGCCTCTACATGGCAAAAACATGCCAGGAAATACTATTCCACAGATTGTCATAATCCAAGTAATCTTTAACCAGAGACCAAATCAAATAATTGCTGAAGAAACAGATACATCAGTTTTGCCTTTGGAGGGAAGCTACTCAGATGCCTGATGTTGTCCATGCAATTCTGAATGGATTTGGGGACTGGGACCTTTGCAGGCATGGTTCATCGTGCCGGGCAGCAGTAGGAAAGCAGAGGAGATTGACTTGGGAATGATGAGATTTTGGTGGTCCAGTAGCTGACTCATTTTGCCACTGTCATGAGCAGTGAGGTATTTTAGCTGAGGAGAGGGAGCAGTGTTTTAGTGTCCCTGGCTACGAGAGAGGCTGAGAGAGCACCATGAGCACAGAGTGAATTACAGTCACCATAGAGGGTAGAAATATTACTGAATTAACCACAAGAGTGGGGACAAAAGCAGGATGATGACAGTGGCAGGAAGAACTTTTGAAACCATGGCAAAAATCTGGCTCCTTTAAAACACTGATATGAGGGAGGGATATGGGTCTAAGACAGAGATCTGGCTTTGCACCTAAATGCTGTCAAGCCTGTGGTTACAACAGAGTTTTCGGCAGCTGCCTTGGGGTGACCTTAGATCCCCTTCGTCCCTCGTTGCAGCAGTGTAAGGTCCTGCCAGAAACTGAGAATCAGTCCCAGGGCTTCAACCTCGCTCAGAAAACATGCCTGATAATCCTGCTTCATTAGCAGAGATCTAGGAGCGCTGGGATGTCTGCATCATCCTTGGCTTCCTTGTTTTCAGCCTGTGTTTGCAAACAGATCATTGGTGTGAAACAGGCACGTGCTGAAGTCTGGCATGGCAGAGGAAGAAGTGCTGTAGCCACCAAGTGTTCACCTGTCCCTCTGCTTCCCCACAAGAATACTGGTGACATTTTGAAGGCAGTTTGATGATTACCCGTGTCCCCTGGCACAGGGTTTTGTGTTATTTCTCTTTGTTTGGACCTGGATGAGAGCAAACTGTACCAAGGCTGTGTTTACAATGGACATCCATGGCTTGTTCTTTCCTCTTCTGTAAACACTGCCAACCGCCCTGTACAACTGTGAGGTGGTGGTTGAAGTGGTGGGTAGAGCTTTCTGGATGCCAGGCTCTGTTATCAGATCCGTCAGTTCTGCAGAGTGTTTTGCTTATCTGTAAACTTACCCATTTCTATAACTGCCTGGCTCAAAAGCTGGGCACCAGATGAGGAGTTTCTGAACAACAAAGAATAACCCCTCCAGAACTCTATCTTAATGATCACTAAGTCTTACTTACTTACTAAGTCCTCTAAATTAACAACAGGTTTTGCTGAATCTCAGTAAAAGTTATTTTCTGTTTGCCCATTGCATCAGTATTAGGTTAGTGGGAAAGAAGTGGGGATGGGGGATTTATTAATAATAAAGTCCTTATTTGTCAGATTCAATGATCTCCACCCCCCAAAAAAAATTACAAAGCCTTTCTCTGAATTATGTTTGTGCATAGGATGTTTTCATTGCATTAAGTTTCTAAACCTTTAGCAGGTATATAAAATATCTCAATTTTTAAAGGTTCTTGGCAATCAATAAGATCAATTTTTCTTTCTTATATATGTGCCTAAATACAGACTTAGGAATGTTTAGGAAATAGCTTTACAATTTTCAGCCTTAAATAGTCAGTCCTGACTAGAAATCAGTTTGTTTAATCTACTGGGTATTTTTAGACAACTAATTGTCAACTATTATCTACTGGAAGTAATACCTTTACTATTGATCAAATCCTTTTCATTACAAATGAGAATAAAACACAGGAAAGAACTACTGCTGAATTGATAACACAGTTTTTCCTCATATATTTCTGTGCTAAATATTTCTTGTATTTTTCCCCAAGAGAAATGGATTATCTAAACATATGCAGGCAGAAACAGAAATGAAATTATCATCAAATCTTTTCAATATATTTGCAAATTACAAACTTCCTTTATCCTTAGTTGCAGTCTTTGAAACATTAGAAAATATGGTATTTCCTAACAGAGCTTCCAATTTTGAATCTTTTCTGTATTTCTCCTTCAACAAACAAGGATGAGAATACCAAGCATTAAACTACTATGTCAGGGCTGTTTGTGATGGGGTATGATGGCCTTATTATGGATTTGATGCTGCTGCACTGGGTCTTGAAGTGGTGGAATGTCAGTGAGTGAGGCCAAGGGCTTTCCCAGATGTATCCAACCTTTATTTGCAAACAGGTAGATGAACAGACAGAAGGCTGAACCCTGACCTTGTTTTCATTTTGTGATGCAGATAACCAACTACCTGAACTGGGTAGTGAGGAATCTGGCTGATCTGGAGGTGCAGATGGGTGCAGTAAAGAAAGTACACAGCTTCCTGAACATGGAGTCGGAGAACTATGAAGGCTGCTTGGGTATTGCACTCTAATCTTTTGGGGGTTTTGTGTGGTAATGCGAAAGAATGGTAGGCTTGGTCATGCAAAATGTACACACCACTTTGGCCAAAATCTGCTCTCATTGATGTGGAGGAACTGCCACTGATGTGAGTGACAAGGAGAGCCAAAAGCAGCTTTGAGATACGTTGCCCATGCCAGTCAACATGAAAAGAAATCCCTATCTAATGCCAGGGAGACAGAGAATGGCCCTGTGGTACAATCAGAAAATACCAGTCATAGGTATTTTCATATGGGAAAATGGTATTTCATATAGTATTTTCATTTTGTTCATATGGGATGAATAAAACATCCATGTAGCTATTCAAGAAACAAACACAGGGATAATGCACCATCAGTCACACGCTTCAAAATCTCTGACCTTTGCAGCAAATGGGCGACTACAGGACAGGGTCACACTGTCAGACATTGTCAGCTGAGGCCTGAGCTGCACCTCAGAGTTTGTGCTGCACACACTTCAAATTGCCTCTGAGGGGTATTTTAGAAGCGGTTGAAGGGCGAGACCGAGAAGGTTGGCAGGCTGACAAGCTTCCCTGGAAAGCCAGGCTCCTCAGTGTGGAGACAAAACCTGCTGCCTATTTGCAACTCTGGATGAAATATGAGCTGTGATAATGTCAACAGCTCGTGTTGTACAGCAGTAACAACATCCCTCCTCACGCTGCCCTTCCTGTGCCGGTTACTGACCGCGGGACACGCTCACCCCACGCTGGACTCGGCGTTCTCTGCTCCTTTGCCTTCTCCCCGTTTCACTGCCAAGAGACACTTCAGCATCTGCCCTCCCTCTCTCCTTATGTGTTGAGAGCTGGAAGCCAAGTGCTAATGTGCCTGCCTGGCAGTTCCCAGCTCAGCTCCCCCCTTGGCAGGGAACTGGGGCTCCATTTCTGGAGATGCCCTGGCAGGAGAGAGGGGGAAAGGGGACTGTCCTAAAGGGTGACCCCTGGCAGCACTCATTTCAGTTTGTTTTTCTGTAACTATTTCAGATCCCTCTCAAGTCCCCAAAGACTGGCCCCAGGAGGGGGAAATCAAGATTGAAAATTTGTGTGTTCGGTATGAAAACAACCTGAAGCCTGTTCTCAAGCATGTTAAGGCATATATCAAACCAG